ATAAATGAACAGCTCCTCTAAATTTATATTTTATACATACGATAATTTATATATATATATATATTAGAATATAATATTTTTAAAAATATATTATTTTTTAGATGAAAAAAATTATGTATATGTAAATGGTTTTGGTAGTGGGGGCAAGTGCCCCACTCTATCATACCTAGATCCGTCCCTATATATATATATATATATATATATATATATATATATATATATTATAACATCACACCTTCTTCAACAACTAACACTTGATGCTACACACACTATGCTCGCCGCCATTCAGGTAAAGAGCTCTCTATCTCGTCCATGCCTAGTGCTACACGACCCATGCTCGATGTGGCTAAGAAAAAGACTCCTGAAACCTCGTGCCTAGCATGGTAAACTATCATGCTCAACCCCATCTCAGGTAGAGAGTCTTTGCCTCGCTTGGTGTCACCACCTTGGCATTTAACAAAATCTAGATAGAGAGCTCTGGCTTGGTCAAGCTAGGTGCCATTCAACTTAATTTGGGCTTGGCATCACCAAGTCAGAGAGCTCTCAAGACTCTCATGCCTGATGTCATTCACCATGCTTGATGTTATTTCAACCTGAGACGAGTCTCTCTCCTCACGCTTGACGCTACCAATCCTATATTTGGCGTGATTGAGATAGAAAACCACAAGCTAGAACAATGCTTGGCGCCTTGAAGGCATATTCGACACGACATTAGAATTTTGCATATGTAGAACCTAATTTTGAGCCACAGCCTAAAATCTAGTAGAAATACAACACATGCAACATGAGATAATGTTTCTACTCAACTTAAACAACTCAACCATTATAATTTGAAATCTAAACAACAGGATAGCTCGATTCTAAGGTAGAAGAAAAAGAACAATCGGTGCTCCGCTCAAAATCAACATGTTGATTCAAGGTTTCAACTACCTAAATCACAACAACACAACTTAGAAAAAGGATTGGAAGAAGAATAAAAGAAGATTGAGAGAAAAGAGAGCTCATAAACTAAAGATCCTCTCTCTAGAAATATGAGGAAAAGAGTTTATGAGATTCTATTCAAAACAAAAATCTTATATACCCTTTCTTCTAGGGTCAACCTAGGTTTCTTCCTAGAAAACCCCCCCCTCAATATCACTAAAGCTTTAAAGGGATCCTTAGACCCTCGAACCTCTCAACTCTAACAGCTCAACTTAATAACATAAAACAACTAAGGGTAGTATAACACTATCACAACTTACAGTGTCACAATTTGCACACAAATCTTTATATGAGTAAGATATTGTTCACTTTGAGTCTAAACTCTCATGATTTTATTTTTGGTTATCACCCAAAAAGTCTCATCCCTATGTGTAACATTTATAAATTTTTATTTCTCCTTTTATTCTAATGATGAGGGATATTGTTTGTATCCCAATAGCCATCTCCTCAAACAAAAGTCTTAACCTCCCATTTAGTAGAGCCCATCTTTGTATATCTTGTTTGTTTATATAGATTATTGGTTGTTATCAAATCCAACTAGTGAGTTGTTTGTTATTTGTACAAATTATTGGTTATTACTAAATCCAACCAATGACTTTGATATCGTTAGGATTATGTTTTGTACTTTTTTCAAAAATGATATATTTTTAATTAGAGAAATATTTTTATTTATTTATTTATTTATATTTTTTATTTTTTAGATATTTACACATAACTTCACAATGGTAAAATATTGTACTCTTTGGGTCTAAACCATCACAATTTTATTTTTGATCATCATATAAAACACTTTTTTTTCCAATAGAATATATGTATTCTTTATAAACTCTTCTTTTTTTTTTATAATTATTTTAACACATGAGACTTTATTTATATCCTCACAACAAAACTTGCAAGTATGGCATGATACGATGGAAACAAGAGTGTGCCTCGATGTTGGTTACACCTCCAATGAGAACTTTTTAGATGCAACTTTCTTGTTGAGGAGCTCAAAGTAGGAGTAGTAGGGATATGTATCTGCCATGCCAAGGGTTTAGTGATCTAGGGTTTCACCACATGGAAATCCAATTTATTTCTTATTCACGAGGATGAAGCTTTAGGCTTGCTGGATGCATTACAGATTACAGTGGCTACGCTGAATGAATATCTATCCTATCATTATCTAGATGGATTGTAAGTGAGTGGTGGACGATCTTCATAGTGTACGCTAAGACTTGAGAGTTTGATTCTATCTTAGTGGTGGATTATCTTTTGTTAAGAGTCAAGCTAATTTGGTGACTCATCACTTAGCTAGGGCCTCCAAGTTGTTTGCTAGTCCCTCTGTCTTTTATCATCCACTCATCAATATTACACATCAATTACTTGCTGAAATTAAATAAACAAACTGATTTAATAATAAAATTTGTATACAAAAGACTTTTGTTACTTTTATTAATTATTAACATACAATTTTTTTAATATTTTATTTAGGGTTAAAACTATAAATAAAAGTGTATATAAAAATAATAAATTATTTTTATATATAGTATAAATTATAGATTATATATATTAATGGAAGAAAAGACATTTTGTGTTTCTCTTTAAATACGCATGTTAATGAGATAATGTGTAGTTACTAGGGAAGAGAGTAATCAATCATCCTAAACTTATTTTTTTTACAAATAAGTACCATAAATTTTTATTTTATTTTAATCGGTCCTTAAATTTTATCTAATTTATAAATAGACATTATATATCTTAATTTTGTATTCAATTAATCCTTAAACTTTATTTCTTTTTACAAATAAACACCCTCAACTTTAATTTCAGTCTAATTAATTTTGATATTTGATAATTTATTATTTTTATAATTTTTTTATATTATTAATTTACAATTAAATTATTTATCTTAAATATCAATCATTCACTAATCTTTTTTTTATTTTTTATGTGACAATTATTTTTTCTTCAAAATATAATAAAAAAAAATACAAGTTTAGAAAAAAAAAATGATAGCAACAATATTATTTAATTTTTTTCTTCTTCTAAATTATATGTTATTTTAGTATATGTTATTTTAGTATATATATATATATACCCAAGAATTAATAAATAAGTATGATTTGAAATAAATAAAATGATTGATATTTTTTTATCTTACTAATTTGATCTCAATGTAATACAAGAGACTTACAAAAAAAAAAAGAAGAATTAATTAAGAAAAAATTATAATCAAGGTATTTATTTGTAAAAATGGTAAAATTTAAGGATAAGTTATAATAAAATTGAAGTTATGAATGGTGTCTATTTGCTAACAAAAATAAAATTTAAGGATCAATTAGAATAAACTTAAAACTTTTGGTGTCTATTAAAAAAAGGATGAAATTTAGGGAGATTGAATACTTTTTTCTTATTTATTATATTCAATAACTATTTTAAGAATAAAACTTGTATATTAAAAATATTTTGTGACCTGTATTAATTATTATTGTTTAATTTTAATATTTTTATTTAATGCCTTAAAATTGTTAAAAAATAATGTGTCCTCAGAAATCGCATTAACATCTAATTTTGTTACTTTATGTGTTTTTAGACTCCAAAGAAGGAAGCAAAAGTAAAGGCAGATGATAAACACACCTTCACTCTCGTATAAACACACCCTTTTTTTTATAAAAAAATATATAAAATGTTTAAATTACCCTTTTAAAAAAATAAAATTCCTAAATTTACACCTCCCTTCCCCGCACCCCCCTTCTCTGCACCTACACGCCACACCCCTCTTCTTCCCAAAGCCTCTTTTCGCTCAATGTCATTAAGCAATATACTTTTACAGTCATTCTGAATAGAAAAAAAGGACTAGCCCCACCATAACCAGCATAAGAAAGGCTCTTTGCCGGTGAAGGATTTGACTCTGGTAAGTATCCTTTATACTAAAACTTCTTTACAATGATTTTTTTTTTATATAAGTGCTCGAGTTAGGATTGTTGACTCAGAATTTGAAGTATACAATCCATTCCTGGCCGATTTCTTTCTCAATATCGGGACATCACATGCGTACATAAGGTTCAACCATTGCGTAAAAAGTACATGCATGGAACATTATCCTGTATCTGCATGTAAACTTTAGTCTGGAACGGCACCAGAATGACCCGTTCTACAAGCAGTACAGGTCGTTCTGCTTGTAGAACGGGCCGTTCTGGGGCCGTTCTGTTGCAGTACAGGCCACCGCGTCACTTTTAAAATGCTACCTTATGACTGATTTTAAAACCCCGATTTTAAAAGTCATTTTTGTACTAGTGTTTCTTTCCATAGAACAAGTAAGAGTCTTTCTCTTACAAGACCACCTGCTGACATTGCGCACCCCTCTTCTTTCTCTTTCTGGCACTCCTCTTCTTCTTTTTTTCCCTCACCTCGCACACCCCTCTTCTTTCTCTTTCTGGCACTCCTCTTCTTCTTCTTCTTCTTATTGTTACAGAAAGTTCTTTCCGGAATTATATAAAAATGTTCCGGAAAATACTTTCCATAATATTAAATTCTTATTCCGGAAAGTATTTTCCGGAAATGTTTTGTTACATAATTCCGGAAAGTACTTTCCATAATATTAAAATTACTATTACGGAAAGTTCTTTCCGGAATTATATGAACAATAATTTTACTATTCCGGAAAGTACTTTCCGGAATGCTAATGACTGTAAAAGTACTTTCCGGAATGCTAATGATTGTAAAAGAGCCTTTCTTATGCTAGTTATGGTGGGGCTAATTCTTTTTTTCTATTCAGAATGACTGTAAAAGTATATTGCTTAATGACATTGAGCGGAAAGAGGTTTTGGGAAGAAGAGGGGTGTAGAGTGTAGGGTGCGGGGAAGGGAGGTGTAAATTTAGGAATTTCATTTTCTTTTTAAAAGGGTAATTTAGACATTTTATATATTTTTTTTTAAAAAAGGGGTGTGTTTATACGAGAGTGGAGGTATGTTTATCATCGGCCAAAGTAAAAGAGCGCACCTCATCTTGATAGCCCATGGGCCACGATCGAAACAATATGGGCCCAATATGGGTTAGGCCCGTTTTATTGATTCTGGATCTCAAACCCAAAAGTTAATTTCATTGCTTTCTTGAGTAGGAAGTTGAGATCGACGCTTTTTAAGACCAAAAGCACCGTCTCCACTCTCCAAAACCATCGCGCACTCCCGTCGCCGCCGTCGACCACCGCAAGCGCCGTCACACTCCGCCGTTAATTGAAAAATGAGTCGAGGAAGTGGAGGTGGATACGATCGTCACATCACTATTTTCTCCCCCGAGGGGCGTCTTTTCCAAGTCGGTGCGTTACTCAAATTTCCTCTTTTACTGTAACCTCTCGGGACCGAGCGTAACTGTTGTTCATAACTCTTGTTTCAATGTTTTATGCGTTTTTGTTATCAGCAACCTTAGATGAAGGGAGGCAACTCAATTTGCACAATTTATAATCATGCGTTTTGTTCACTATTTAATCAATTTTACTCTGTCAATCTTGTTCTTTGAATTGTTTATTTCTTGATTTCGTTAGCTTGATTTTTGAGTTCCAGTATGAACCTATGCAAGGATTCAACTTTGTCTGTTTGATTATGGGTTGAGAATATCGATTTTATACTCTTCCTGCCAATGAGATTGTTCAGACTTCAGAGTTTTTAGTTCTTAGTTCATTTTGTTAGCAATTCGATGTGTTGCTTTGATTGTGGGTGGTGGTTGTATTGTTCCACTAACTATGTTGAACTTGCAATAGCTTTAAAACACGAGCTTTAGTTAATTTTAACTTTTTTAGTGAAAAGGAAGAGAGAAAACGTATCACAAGTGTTTTTTCATGGATATATAGCTTACAAGAGTTAACTAATTGATGCATTAAGCAATATTTTATCCGTTTTTATTGTGGGTGTACAATGGTCGCAGTGTGGTTCGAACTTGGGACTTGATGCATAATATCCCAATCTCTATTACTAGACTGACTCTAGTGGTTTGTTATTTTATCCTTTTTTAACTTCCTTTATTGGTGTAAAAAAACTTGCTTTATTTAGTTTATTAATTTAATTTAATAAGCTTTTTGAATACTCTTTTATCAGTTAGCTATTTTGTCCAAATATTAAATTCTTGTGACTTGACATGTTTTGCCCCAGCAACACATTGTTTCATCAAATTTTCCCCCTGAATCCTCATCACCACAACATTTGCAACTAGGCAACATTTCCTTTTCATGCTATAAGAATGTAATTACTTAAAATTTCTATCTTATTCATCCAACGTACACTCTCATTGGGTGTGTTACCAACTGCCTACAACACCACACTAAACTCATTCAACCAAACCAAATGAACTTTGGTGAAGGAGATACATAAAAATTTCATGATTTGTATCTTCCATTAGGAGGACTAGTCAGATTTCCTCCTCTTAGAATTTTGAGTATTAAGGGAAGAATCTGTATATGATCCAGCTGTTAAGTCATCAATTATAGAAATGCAACATCCAGCACCCCAATAGGGCTTTGGGGTTCAAGTGGGGCTAAGTTGTTGCCCAAATTAGCAGTAGTCTAGGAAGGAACATGTTGTTAAAGCTTTGCATTTTCCATGTCAATGTGCTTAATACCAGTAGCTCCATTCTATAAATGGTTTTAGCTCTAAATGCAATCTTAAGTTCTCCTACCTACCAATTTCTGACAAAAGTAGAAAAATAAGAGGAAAATGTACATGAGGAAAGTATATGGACAATCTTGGGTTGTTAGTTTATATTATACCTGTAAATCTACACAAGAGGTACTTTAGTCTCCTTTATTTTAGCAGCAATTGGCTAACATGCTACTGCTAACAATTGTTGACTCTAGCTTTTCTCTCTCTAAACATAACTAGGGAATAAACTAGCAAAATAGATTTAGATTATCAAAAGGAGATCAGAAAACATAATTTTCTATATGTTCCTTATCTATTGAATGAGTTCTGTTTTTAATAGTCATTTGTATAAATCACTACTGTGTGTCATACGTTAAAAGAAATTCTCCTTGCAGTTGTGAGTTGTTTGGAAATGAGTTGACTACTTTGTTAGGCTGTAGTGTTTTGAGTGATGGAATTTTTTATGCATGATGAAACAGAGTATGCTTTCAAGGCTGTTAAAGCTGCTGGAATCACATCAATTGGTGTCCGAGGAAAGGATTCAATCTGTGTCGTTACTCAGAAGAAGGTTCCGGTGAGTCTGAAAATTGGTTCTCTGATCATTCTTTTGGTTGTATTAATACTTGTGCTGGCTTCTTAAGTTTGGATTTTCGATGCAGGATAAGCTTTTGGACCAGACAAGTGTTTCACACCTCTTTCCCATCACAAAGTACCTTGGTTTATTGGCAACTGGCATGACTGGTATATTTCTCATTGCACCTCTTCACAGTTTCTTTGTTGTAGATTTTTGTGAATTTATTTGCATTTTTTTAATTAAAATATACGTCTGTTTTTTTGTTAAAGTTAAATCATGTGGCATTTCACTGATGATTTCTTCATTGTATTGTATCTCATTAAAATATAAATTACAGGTTTGAAAAATATGATATCATTATCAACCTAACCAATTGGTTAGTGAGGAGAAAATTAAGGAGGAGACTGTGATTATATGAGAATGATTATCATTCTCCTAGATTGTGACTTGTTGGAAATTGCTTAAGAGATCTGTTTTCAAGCCAAACCTCTGGTTCAGAATCACTTATTTATTTTTTGGTGTGATATTGTTCTATAAATCCGTGCAACCGTATCATGAAATATCATTAATATTTATGATGAGAAAATAGTTCTATATTAGACCTGAATGTTACTGTCAAAGTTGTGGCTAGGGCTAAATTGACTTATGGTCAGGCTCAGTAGATAGAGGCAATGTTAATATTGTTTTTCTGTAAAATGAACTTTGAAATATGAGCACATGTTTAGATTTCATCCAGAGAAAATGAATATTTATTTACATATATATGTAGAACTAAAATATCCTCAGTTTACAAATTCAACCTTTGCTTTATCCTCTTGGAATACCTCTTTCCAGCTGATGCTAGGACGCTGGTTCAACAAGCAAGAAATGAAGCAGCTGAGTTTCGCTTTACATATGGGTATGAGATGCCAGTGGACGTATTGGCTAAATGGTAAGTGGTTCAGTATTTTGCCACTGTAACTATTACTAGCTGGTTATTATTCTGTTTCATTTTGCTCTAAAATTATCATTAGTTTTTGGAGAAGAATGATGTCTGCACTTCTATATTTAATTTACTGGAACAGTACAACAATAGGTAATAGCCACATTGTTTTAACATGCTTCTGCATTTGTGGTGTGACTGGATGATTCTATTGTCTGTTGCTCCTGCCACCATATTGAATTGTAAATTGCACATGTATGTGTAGGTGTGTCGGCTCTAGTGTCCAAGCCAATAAAAATTAATTTTTAATTGGACACCTAATTAGAAGTGCCCTGACATGTGTCATGAAATGTCAGCATTGGAAACGTGTTCAACACTTTGAATGAGAGAGGTGTTTGTGCATCATAGGTTGCATCACTAGAATTAATTCTTAATAACTTGCTATGGTTTAGCTTTCAATTTCATTGCTGGATGTGGATGCAGTGTGTTATATCCGGGTAGTCTTTTCTTTTTATTGGGATTCAGTTCTACCATCTTTGGAAGGATTATGAAACAGGTCTATGCTGTTTAATATGGCTGGTAGCTCAAACATTCTAAATAGTGATGTTTATTGTTAATTTTATGTTGTTTTGAAGTAGTTAGTAATTTAATGTGGGTTCTATGTAAGATGGTTTCTAATATGTTTTGTTTGATGGACAAGAGAAGAAAACGCAGTTAATTGCAGAAGTGTTGTCTATGCTTGTTGTGTAAGGCTTTTACGGAACCACCAACCCCCCATGTGAAGTTACTAAACTGAGCTTCATGAATGTACTCCTAGGATGATCTATGACATGCACTTTGTTTGCAATAACCTTCTTGTATTGTAATAATTCATCTGTTGAATCTGACTGTAATTTTGACTTTTATCATAGGCTATTTGTCTTGATATATCTTAGGCTTTTACAATTTGTCAATAACATCTTTTGTGTCTGCCTCTTGTTATCTTTTACACTCACAGGATTGCCGACAAATCACAAGTTTATACTCAACATGCTTATATGAGACCACTTGGAGTAGGTATGCTTTCTTCATAGCTTTTCACAGATGAACAGTTTTCACCCTGTTTGAAAGATCACAGAACTTATTTTGTATGATAAAAATATTTCATAATTTAATTACATATCCTTATTATTGATGTCGTTTCCTCTTTCTATGATTTTGAATCCATTTTTCCGTGAAGTTGCTATGGTTTTGGGCATTGATGAGGAATATGGACCTCAGCTTTACAAATGTGATCCAGCTGGTCATTACTTTGGTCACAAGGTAAATAGAAGATCTTCTCTCACTTCCATGTTAGATTTTTTTGGGTGTTATTTAGTGAGAAGATGTAAAATAAGATGATAATGAATTAAATTCCACTAATTTTTCAAGTTATATGTTTTGTCTATTTTAGTATCTCAGACAAACAATTATGTCATCATAAGTATTCAAATGAGGGTTGAGGATGAACAAAGGAAGATTGGCTGCTTTTTACCTTGTGAAAATTGTTGTTCCATTTTTTTATTACTGGTGTAAGATTGTATTCTTGGAGCTTACTAAGATGAAGTATCATAATATTATTGATTGAGGAACCAGGAACCAAATAAAAACTAAAAAGTTGTCATGGTAATATAACTACAGTTATTCTTGACCCAGAAAGGAAGGGATTATCATTAGTCAATAGTGCCATGATAATAATAAGAATTTTTAATTTAACGATTGAAATTCAATGGATGTCATGAATTATTGAGTGAAGTAATTTTATTAAGAGTTATTCTGGTAGTAACTTGATTCCTCCCCATAAAGCATATTATATAATACTTTCTGTATAACAAAGTATTGTATAGTTTTCAAAATTTGTAGACTTAATCTATTCATTAAGATCTTTAGATTTAAGGATTGAATTGTTAAAATTCAATTGAGTTATTGAGTGAAATAACTTTACCTAAAGCTACTCTTGGAGTAAGTAGGTCTCTTCCCAAATATATATACACATACAATTTTTTTATATAAATCTTGTAGAATTTTACACTCTGCTATGATTCCCCAATTTACGATTTTTTCGTTTTCCCAAGACTGATTAGAATCTCTAGTTTGACTACTTGAATAGTGGTGAAAGGAAGTATATAAATCAACTCATCGTTAGGAGGTTATGATATTTATCTAATAATTATCATCATTATAATGTACTTGTCTTATAAATTATATAATCATATGTTTAAGTTTGTGAGCCTTCACTCATCCTGAACTTTCCCTTTTCCTCCTTATTTATCTGTTTACTTTTCTAAGATAAAATCATTGAGAAACCTATGCATATATTTTCTGGTCAATGCTTAGAGATTTTGTGATCTTTTAAAATAGCTGTATTGCAATTGGTTTGTTAGATCTGCTGAGCATATTTATTTTTAATATTTGATGTTCACTCTAAGCCATTCACATTTATTGTGATGTACATTGATTTTATACCTTGTAAATGTTTCAAAGTAACGAATGGCATTTCTTCATTTGTCATCTCTTCATTTATTTATAATTAATTAAATGCACTTGTAGACAGAAGCTAAAGTGTCTAAGAATCTGTTATGATGTACTCAGGCAACAAGTGCTGGATTGAAAGACCAAGAGGCGATTAATTTCTTGGAAAAGAAAATGAAAAATGACCCATCATTTACATACGAGGAGACGGTTCAGGTAATGTTCTTGCATTCTTTGTCCTCATCTCAGTTACATCTGTCTGGTATGAGAAATTGACAATTTTATTGCTGGCTTTTGTTGGTATGGAAAGTGAAGACTGCTATGTTGCTGTGTCACTGAGAACTAGTGTGCTTTCAAGGATATATTTCAACACATCGGGTTTCCCCCCTTTTTAGGATAAACAATGAATACTGTTGATCCTTTTTTAACTGGCAATTTTTCAAAAGTTTTACTTGATAAATGTTTACCATGCTATTATAATTTATAATTATTAGTCTGCATGAAAGTTATTGGACTAAATATTTAATGTATGTGGATGCCGAAGATTAGTGATGTTCTACTGGAAGGTGAAAAGTCTAAAAAATGAGTAAAATTTGTTGTAAATGATCTGTTTTGGATTTGCTGAAATTATTACGTTAGACAGATAATGTAATAACGCTGAACTTTTGGATCCTCATTAGAACTGTAATTATTACGTTAGTTATGACATTTACACATAATCATTAGGTTTCATGAGCATTGCATATTAGCCTTTGCCTTAGATTAAACCTTCATGTATGTATTATAGGATTTGTTGCCCTTTCTTCTTTCGTTCTTGTGAGTGACAGTTTTTTTTTATCTGTGCTCTCATTAACTGTAATTGATTTTTGTTCAGGAGACTTCAAGTTATACTACATTGTAACTAAGGCACACTAGTAATTGAAAATGATATTTTTAATCATTTACATTAACTGTTATCCAATCATGCTTTTGATGAGCTAATTCCAGGATCTCCCTTTTATTTTTATCAGACTGCCATTTCTGCCCTGCAATCAGTTCTTCAGGAGGATTTTAAGGCCACTGAGATTGAGGTAAAAATCATTTTTAAATCTTACAGAACTTTGTATGACCCCATGTTAATTGAAATCAGTAAAATAATTATTACAGAATTTGATTCTTGTTTAGTCCTTGAATGGGCAAAACAAATTGTCTTCCAATTTTAAAGATTTGTCTGCTAGTTGCTTGTTCTTTCTCATTAAACGAAAGTCATGCATTTTTGTCATGCTTTCTAGTATTTACAGTTTACGACCCTCTGGCTTTTGTTTTCATGTTTTAGGCAACTAAGGATACGACGTTTTTCCTTTCACTATCTCTTTTCCATTAGTTTTCCCTGTAGGTGATGGGTGGATAAAAGTCTATAATCTAATTTGCGATTCCCTCATGCTTCAGTAGATTGTTGTTTCTAGTGCTTAGTAATATGGAGAATTAATAACCCAAAAATATTGGTGTGTAAAATGGAGGATTGTATTGAAATGTTATCTGTTCTAGAAATATATATTTTTATTTTATTTTAAAATTGGAAATTACTTTCAGTGGCATAAATTAGTTTGTTGACATCTTTGCTCTGAAGCCTAGACTTACAGGACAGGGATTATTAAATTTTTTATAATTATTCCCTTCCAACAAACGTTTTCTTTTCCTCTCATTTAGTGCAACTGGTTGTGTTTTGTATTTTCTAGGTTGGAGTGGTGAGGAAAGATAATCCAGAATTCAGAGTTTTATCCACCGAGGAGATTGATGAGCACTTGACTGCAATAAGTGAGCGTGACTAAGTTCTTGATGAGGAGGATGTAATTGTTCAAGCTTTCAAATGCTAGATTAAATTATGTACTTGTTTTCTGGGATCACATTCACTGAATTGATTTGCTCAAGATATTTGATTAGTAAGTTACCCAAGAATGATGTTGAAGATGGATGGAGGCTTGGGTCAACATACGAAAGTCTTTTATAGCGATTTTTTTTAATTTAAAATCAATGGGTAAGATTTTTCCCCCCTTTCACTTATACTGGTTAAATATACCACTGCGGACCATCATACATTGTCGCTTATTTCTAGTGGTGGCGTTTTATTGCAACTTGATAAATTCAAAACCGACCCAAAGAATGAAAAAGCTTCAAATCAAAATTGGATATCAAGATTTTCATCTATGGGTTTCGATTTTAGTGTTGTCGTTTTTGCTAGGAACCCTGCATTGTCGAGCTCGTGTTTGTTGAAGACCCTTTACCATTCCTCCTGCCTTCGAAGATGCACTCTTAAAGTCACACTCATTGTCTCCCTCAAACAATTGGTTTCACAACCATGCTTTCTGCTGGTTGTAGATGTCGAACTTTACTTTGCGTGCGGTTTCTTGCGTGATCACCTTTGACTCTGTTGGTATCGTCGCACTTATTGGATGCTAGAGATTGAGGTTTTGTTGGCTTTGTCGCATGTTTGCACCTCACCCTAGGTGAGGGCGAACGTTAAAGAAGAGTAAAAGAAAAAAAAATAATAAAACGAACTTGAGGTTTAAAATTGAAAGAGTAAAAGAAAACAAAAATAAGAGAAAAATATTATCCATTGATTGAGAAGAAACAAACTTAAATAGAGAAAATCTACTTTCTCACGGAGGAGACATGATGAAGTCTCTCATATTACTGTGAGGTTAGTGAGGGTTACGACATATCCTCGACGGTGGAAAAGTAGTAGTATCGTTCGTTGTATTTAAAAATTAAAAAATCAATAGCTACAATTTAAAGATATTGAGTAGAAGAGTTCCACTACGAGTGAAAACAACCATGTGGATATTATTCTAAATATTAATTTAAAATTCACCACCATTAAAGGTAAAAGTTTGTTAAAATCGTAAATACTAATTTTTTTAATCTGTAAATCCAACGACAATTACTATTTTCCCAGGGATATACTAATGCCCCCCTTTATAGTCCCGATCGAGGCTAGTATAGGGAGAGTTGACATATCTTCCGCGGTGAAAAGGAAATATCTTACATTAAATTTACACATTAAAAAATTAATGGCTACATTTTAAGGGTATTAACTAACTTTTACTATTACTGAAAGTAAATTTTGGATTAATATTTAAAAAAAGAAGATCAATGTGGTTGTGTCTGAGGTCCTCTCCTTTGGCCAAGTTACATTCTCAAAGAAAACAACTCAACTGTGGAATACGAGCTCATCGACATTAGTAAGGTCATGGAGAACAATTACGAAAGGAGGGGAAGAGTTCGGCTAGCAATGTGACTTGCTGGAAGGAGTGGACCCTTGACATATTTTCTGTTTAAGAAGATTAATTTACCATTCCCTTCACACTGTAAAAGTTGGTTAATACCTTTAAAATTGTTGTAGCTCCTAACTTTTTAATATGTAAATCCAACGGCCAATATACCAACGTCCCCACGCTAGCCTCCATCTCAAAAGTCTGATACCAAGAAGTTTGCTTCAGACAGAAGAGACATGGTGATCAGCTAGTTGAATACTACACTAGCTAGCAATTCTATCAGTTATATATATAAGTATAGTGAGTGTTCCCTTCTGCAATAACAGTGATCTAATTATGCACAAACAATTCGTGTAGTGTATCATCGTATTTGTACAATTGTACTGATCTGAATCGTGTGATCCTCTGAATGTCACTGAATGATATTTTGTATAAGCTTACCGATTCAAAATCATATTCCATCATAAAGATTTCAAAACTTCTCCTAGGACTAGTCCCCATTGAGTCCAATGGGTGCCACCCTGCATTTGGAATACAAAATTAAGATCGCAAAAAAGAGTGTAAGAGAAAATCATATGTAGTATTGCATGATACAAATAGCCCATACCTGGCAAAATACAGCAAATGGCTCTCTAAGAGGTCCATCACATGAAAGCTCACTAGTACTCCCATCTATGAAGGTTCCATCAGCAAAAATCACCTGAGATGATATGAAAGAGTTATTAATATCTGTTAAGATAGCAAAGTAACAAACATCCTAAAAGGTCCAAAACTGGTAAAACATAAGGCATATTTGGGTACAAGTCTAAAAGAATTTTTGAAAACTTCTCTACTGAACTGTATCCAAACAGATCATAATAAATTTGCACGTAGATTGTGAAGATAAATATGAACCGACCTCTGATGCATATCCAGGAGTCGTACCCGCAATTGGTTTGGTATATGAGCCTACTGGAGAGCTTCTCTGAACAGCCTCGCAGAAAGCTAGGAGACGGTCGCGACTTCCAAGCTGGACAGCCTATAGACATTGAAGATTAACTTTATTTTTCATCTAAATAGTTATCATCTTATGTAATTTGAAAGAGATTCCTTGATGACTCAGTTTCTATTTGGATAAACTGATAAAATGAGAAAGTAAAATGAAACTAACTTCTCTTATAAGTTAAAATCAATTTACGCACCGTGACGATTTTAGAAGTTCCTTGATTTAACTTCTCCAGAAGTTAAAGTGTATAAGTGCATGTTTGGTCATGTGTTATTGGCGTTGTTTTCCACGTCCAAAATGAAAGCTACTAGAAATAGCTTTGGCATCATTGACGTGATTTGGTCTTGGACTATGGATTTTGGATGTGTAACCAAGCATGCACCAAGTTGATTTTAACATATGAGACAAGTTGGATTCATTTTGCATTCGCATTTTCTTCTCCTATAAAGTACTAATTAGAAAGTTTATTCAAACAAAACCAAACTGTCTGATTCGACAACTTCTCCACCAGCAACACAAATTTACTAATAATGCAGGAAACATATTTCATTTAGAAAAGGAAACAGAGATAATCCTTTAAGAAAACCTGAACCGTATCAGAACGGGGGACACGGGGGAGTGGCTGCACTTTATAGCCTTTAGATGCCAAAACTTCAGCAATCAGGAAGGAGCCCTTACACAGAAAATGCAGAATTGTCTCATTGTAAGATACAAGCAAGAAACCACAATCTCTACTATTAAAGTGATGAATCCAGTACCTTGACAGCTTCCCCAACCATTTGAGGTGAAAGAAATAATCCCTGGAAAAAGGCTCGCATGATATCACCAGGGGTAGAACCACAATCCACACCAAGTCCTGGAGCAGAAAGACGGGCTGCAGCTGCTTCAACCCATTTTTGCTTCCCGGCAACGTATCCACCACATGGTGCAATCGTTCCACCAGGATTCTTGATCAAGCTGCCTGCAATCAAATCTGCACCCTGCCCAGCAACGTAAATGTAAAACTACGCATCCTTTGTAATACTACACATCCTTGGAATAAAGCAATACAAATGTGTCACAATATCACATACCACCATGGGAGGTTCAATGTTCTCAACAAATTCACCATAGCAATTGTCCACCATGACTGAGCAGCTGGGATTTTGCATCTGTATGCATTTATTTAAGGGCATGTCATAGGGCAAAATTGCCATGTGCATAAAGGTCACAGGAGAATAGCTAAGGTGCTATCTCTACCATATACTTATTTAAGAGCCTCACCTTGATTATTTTTATTGCCCTTCCTATGTCATTAACACTCAAACTGCGGCGCCACGAGTAACCACATGACCGCTGTATGAGCGCACATTTTGTTTTTGGTTTGACAGCACTCATCAGTGCATTCCAGTCGAGTCCACCATCCTCAGCAAGCTGGAGGGGAACAATCCAAGGGTCAGAAAGCAGACAAATCAATTACAGCCAAAAAATAATTTATTACACCATTACTAAGTAGTATCATACTGGAACTTCTCGGTACTTCACCCCAAAATCTTGGAGGGAACCCAGCCCACCAGAGTCCCTTTTCCCAATTACTTCTTCTAGCGTGTCATAGGGAGCACCAGCAACTGCCAAAAGCTGACAGCTTTATTAGTCTAAACCTTATTCCAGTTACAAATTCAACAAAAATATTCTTTAACTATAGGCTATAAAGGTAAATAGATAGCAAATAATGAAAAGCAGAGAATGTCAAAACAATATGTTACCTCATCCCCTGGCCTCAGGAGAGCAAATAAAGCACATGTGATAGCATGAGTACCTGAAAAGAACTGTTGAATGATGACAAGATTATAACTTAACACCTTCAAGAACCAAGAAGTAGAAAAAAGTGGCCTACAGCACAAGGCTCCCACCTAGTAGGGTCTAGGGAGGGTTGATGTATGCAATTTTATGCCCATAAGCAATGAGGCTATTTCTTGGATTTGAACCCATGATCCCCAGATCATACTAGGCAATTGCCTTGGCATTGTACCAAGGCTCATCTTTGGCAAGAACTAAGAAGTATAGTATAAAAAGAACACATGGAAAACTAAGAACCTGTGGACGAACGATAGCTGACTCAGCCCCAACAATTTCTGCAAAAGCCTGATCAAGAGCCCCACGACCCCCAGCTTCATCATGACCATAACCAGTGCAACCGCCAAAGTGCTGATATCATTAGCAATATGCATATTAACCCCCAAAACACGGAAATTGTATCAAAAAGTTTGACTGCTTGACTGTATTAACTACCAAGGCTTACAGACAGAATAGTAATTTACATCGAACAAAGACATTAGTGATCAACCATGGTACCACACATGTGATACTGAATTTGAAGATAAATCTTTCACTTTCAAAAGAATTTTTTATCTTTTATGGTTGCAGGGGAAGGATGGTGTTTCATTTCCTAGGTCTCTGCCACTTATTAGTGTAAAGAACTACAATTTTTCTGTATCTCAGGGATTACAATTCAATTATGACTGTATGTCAACTCTGCCTGAAATATGAGGAAAAGTATCCTAAAGGTAGCTTTTGATGTAATGAATGCTTTCTGATCAAGATTTAATGGGCAGCTTTAGGTTTTCCCTAGTCAAGTCTTAAGTTTTTGGGTTCGTAATTCCTATAATAGCTATCCTTTTGCTAAAAGTGTCAAAACATATAAAGGCATTAATATCAGCCCAATTGCTTAAAAGACATCTCTACCAACTACAATCAAAACAGTTAACAATAACATTTATTAGCCTTAAACCCAAGGACATGATATCAAATGATTATTAATCCAAGAATATGATAGTACATTTGCAAACAGGTTATCTAAATTAAAGGGCATGCTTACATGGGATCCAACTCGAGCATTCTGGAAAGCTTTAAGGACCCGGGTGGTATTGCATGCAACCAAATTATCCACAGCCCTGAATTCAAAATGCAAAGCATCCACTGCTTTTACAACCTGAACTGCAATAAAAGGAAGCCATTTACCATTACTGTTCTTCCTAATCCATAAGCATTTTCACTTTCAGCATCTGAATCAGACACCACTTCCACATCAGATTTTTTTTTCCAAGAAAAAAAAGTAAAGCTCCCTAATACTCTAACTAGCGTAATGCAAACCAGAAGATAATCTCCAAAATTCAGGAAAAAAAAAGAAGAAATATTTTGAGGAATGAAATCAAAATCAAATCATATGCTATATGCCCTTTATGTCAAAGAAAAAAAAAATCAAATTCAAAGGTATATTTCGCCTAAACAAGTTGTTGGTCCAACTAGAACTATGCTTAAATTTCTTAAAGTTTTGAATTCGAGAGTCATGAATTAAAAAAGACGTAGTTAAGAGAGAGACCTTACTATAAATAGTCAACAAAGTTCTCTGACAGTAGTCATCTGCTCATACATTGCACCAATGACATGACATGGTGAACTTAAAAAAAAAAAAAAAAAACCTGAACCAAGTAGTTTTGCATATCCAACTCGATCATACTTTTACATCTCATAAACAAATCAGTGAAAATCACAATTCTGTAGAACCAGCTTTTATTTTCAGCTCTTTCACATCCCCATCATATACCCCAAAACCAATCTTTGAAATGAAATAAATAAAAAAACAAAAGGTATTCAACCAAAAGCAGACCCTAATTCGATGTTCTCTTTCCTCCAAACATTTTCTTAAGCACCTCAAAGACCAACCAGATATCATCAATTCTTATATTTCAGTTCCAACTAACAGAAAACGAAAACAAACAAAAATACAATCTTTTCTCGCCCAGTCGCTCTCAAGGAAAAAAAAGAAGTAATTTTCCCCCAGTTTCTACAGTTTCTAATGCTTCCCAAGCGACCCAATGTTGCAGTGATAAAACATGGTTCTGGGTTTCAAAAGTGACAAATTTTATTTTTTTATAACAATTTTGATGCTTAGAAGTAACACATGGTAGAGTGAGAAAATAAGGTTATGGGTTTGATACAGTACCTCTGGGACGAAGGGGTTGGCAATGGAACGATGAGTGTTGATAACATTGAGGGGAACGGAGAGAGGTGAAGTAGCCATGGGAGGGGAAGTTCCAATAGGATAAGCAGAAACTGCGCTGCTTACACTGCAACACTTCATGTGTGAGTGAGGTGATATAGTAAGCAAGAAATTAAAAAGAAATATGTATGGTTCGAATAGATAATTTAAATGAATTTGTGAAAAACAATTATGATGGGAGTTATGAGAATTTAATTATTTTTTTCTATGATGAATTTGTGTGAATTTTTTTTTAAAAATATTTGTATAAGACTAATCATATATTATTGTTTAAATAATTAATTAATAAAGAATAAAAATATAATTATTTAAATATTAGATATTTATTGTTGTTGTTATTGAAAATATTATTATTAAAATTATGATTTATTTATGTTTTTAGTATTTTAAATTTAGGATATCACTTTTTGTGTTTCAATTTAAAATTTATGTTTTCAGTCTTGTAATTTTTAAAAATTATTATTTTAGTTTCTATATGTTTTTTTATTTTTAAAATTTAAAATTTGTATTTTTAGTCTTTAAAATACAAAAAAATATTATTTTAATTTTTAAAATTTTATCATTTTAATCTTTATAATTTTAAAAATATTATTTTTAATCACTAATACCATAATTAATAGTGACAAATAGAGTAGAATCAAAATAATAAATCTAATATTTTAAAGACAAGAAACACATATTTTAAATTTAAGAGATAAAAAACATATACTCTGAATTTAAATTAATTTAATATATATTTAAGTCTTTTTTATTTTTTTAGCGGTATACAGTTTTAGAATGAATTTAGTGTATTTTACTCCTAAAATTCTTAAAGTTTAGTTACAATTTCGGGAAATAAAATTTGTATTATTTTAATTTTTTAATTCTTTTATCTGTAAAAGTTATAGAGACAATAACTAGTTTCAAAATTAGGAACTTATGTGTACTATTTAAATATTTACCACTTATTCCAATATTCACCACAATAGAAATATTCATATATTTCATTCATGTATTCAAAGATTAAAGAATACATCTTTATAATCTAATAATTAATAAGGATGACCATACAAATGTTATCATCTTATTTTAGAAAATATAAAATAACATTAAAATTAAATACAATAATATACTTAATATTCTAAGCCCATCCAAGATAATCTTTCAACAATTTGATTTTATTTCTTTTGGACTTAAAGTCCATCCTTACATTCCTGACGTGCCCATGTAAAACCTCATCCTCAAGATTTGTAGATAATTGAAGAAATGCGCATTTTATGCTTGCTACTAAAGATGAAGATTGTTGATGGGTAATAAAAGGAAAAAATAGATTTTGGTAGTAGAAGGCCACAAGTATAGGCAACTCTAAATCTAGTGTTAGGGAAAAAATTTAAAAGCCCATGGATTAAGTTATGATCAAAGGGGTGGTATGGTTGGCTAATGGGCTATTGTATATCTTTGAAATGGTCATAGGAATGCCAACAACTAGTTTGGTGGAAGGTGTAGTGGATATTGAGGTAAGGTTACATGTATTGTATGCCATAGCATCGAAAGTGTGGCCCTGAACAGTGACGGATCCAGAAATTTTATATAGTGGGGGTAATATTTATTTATATATTTGTAATATTAAAATTTTTACATATATAATTTTTAAAAGCATAAATATATTATCATAATTATTTTTTACAATTTTTTATATTTACGATTACAAGTAAATATGAAAATAAATTAGGTTAGACTAAATTTTATTATAACTTAATAGGTTTGAACCTAATGTTTTAAAAAAATATATATCTTAAGTATGACTTATTTATCTATCATAGATATTTTTTAAATTTTTTGTTAGAACTACAATTCTCAAGACCTACTTTATAATAATTCAACACTATTAAAAATATAAAATAAATATGTTAAATTTTATAAAAATTAAGTTTAATTTATTTATGATGTAAACATGTTTTTAATATCTAATACGTATTTTTAGATGATAATTTATTTTATATTTTATAATAACAATTCTAAATAGAATGAACATAAATCTTTTAATTTTTTTTATTTTAATTTTTTTAATCAATATATACAATAAATAAAAAACACAAAAGGTAAACATGCATACTGTAAATTTTATTTTATTAAAAATTGATTTTTTTAATATATTACATTATATATGTGAGTATTAATATATATATATATAT